GGAACGCAAATACAAGATGAATGTAATTCATCGTTTGAATGCTCTCCCTTGCCTTCTAGTAAAATTCTCCTGTAACTGTAGTTCATTTTTTAACGATTAGGTTACTTTTAGAAATTACAGGTTTAGTTTATACCAGGCAACCTAATATCAAACTACTGGGCAAGAATTATGTTCACGCCCACGGAGCAAGAACTGTTTTCACCTCTTAATACCATCTCGCCTGTCTAGCTTTAAACTGAGAACCAGCAAGTGAGGCCTGTGGACAATCAAAACTGGTATCCCCAGATGTGAGGGCAAGATGCAACAGTGGCAATGGACTTTCTCTTGCCTGGCAGGGTAGATTTAGCTGACAAGCTCTGTGGTCAGGCGCTCTGCTTCCAATGCTTCGTTCAAAGAGATTACACAGTCGTTGCACCAGAGTTCATCTACTTTACTCAAGTCCATAGTTTCACATTCAGTTCTAACAAATTTAGTTCATTTCCAATCTCACAGTGATCAGAAGAAACAAATCTTCACAGACAGAAAAGAACTTGACTCATTCAACAACCTTTTGTTGAGTGTCTAAGAAGTGCCAGGCACTTGAAGATAAAACAGCAACCAATACACAGTGACCCCCTATCCTCTCCTGCTCATATACGGGAGAGGGCTCACACAATAGAACGGTAAATTAAAATAAAAATAACTGTAAATAAGATAATTATAACACCAGGCTCAGTGGCTCTCACCTGTATTCCCAGCATTTGGGAGGCTGAGGCAGGTAGACTAAACCTGGCTCACAGGTTCAAGATCAGCCGGAACGAGAGTGAGGCGCCATCTCTAAAAAAACAGCCAAGTGTTGTGGTGGGCACTTGTAGTCCCAGCTACTTGGGAAGCAGAGGCAAGAGAGTTGCTTAAGCCCAAGAATTTATAAGTTGCTGTGAGCTATGACACCATGGCACTCTACTGAGGGCAACAAAGTAAGACTCTGTCTCAAAAAAAAAAAGATAATTACAACATATGACATTTGCTAAGAAGGACATAAACAGAGCTGAGGATCTTGCACTTTCTAAGGACTATGAAGAACTATTCTCTCCAGTACTGTAGAAATATAGAATTAAAAAATACAATTTATGGACCCTAAATGCACTCTAAGATTTATCTTAAAAATGAAATTCCAGATGCCAGGCTGGGCACCTGTAGCTCAGAGGTTAGAGGGCCACCCTCATACAATAACAAAAGAAATTCCAGATGCCAGCATACTACCATCTCCTTACATGAAAGGCCAAATGTGGGTTTGGCACCTGTAGCGGCACCTCAAGCGGCTAAGGCTCCAGCCACATATACCAGAGCTGGCCACTTGGAATTCAGCCCAGGCCTGCCAAATAACAACAGCTACAACCAAAAAATAGCCAGGCATTGTGGCGGGCACCTGTAGTCCCAGCTATTTGGGAGGCTAAGGCAAGAGAATCGCTTAAGCCCAGGAGTTGGAGGTTGCTGTGAGCTGTGATAGCACAGCACTCTACCCAGGCAACAGCTTGAGGCTCTGTCTCAAAAAAAAAAGGGCCAAATGTTATCCCAACTCTCTAGAGCAGAGGAGCTAAGTGGAGGGCTTTAAGCCAGCATTTCTGGCCAGGCTCAGTGGCTCACACCTGTAATCCTAGCACTCTGGGAGGCCGAGGTGGATGGATTACCTGAGCTCACGAGTTTAAGACCAGCCTGAGGAAGAACAAGAACTTGTCTCTAAAAAAAATAGGTGGGTGTCGTGGCAGGCTACTATAGTCCCAACTACTTGGGAGGGTGAGGCAAGAAGATTACTTGAGCCCAAGAGTTTGAGGTTGCTGTGGGCTATGAAGCCACAGCACTCTACCAAGGGTGACAAAGTAAGACTCTGTCACAGAAAAAAAAAAAAAAGGCCACATTTCTGTAGATGGAGGTACCAAAAACAGTCACTGAGAACTGAGGGAAGGAAGCAGGAAGTATGCCAAAGAACATGCCTTCTGCTATTTTAAAAGCTGGCCTAGGATGGGCCTTGTAATAAGAAAAACACTTCTTTCTCCTTCTTGTCAAGATCACATAGCACCCTCCTCCCTGGGGTCCACAATCTTTACTAGTTCTGTACTTCGGTTGTATTAAACAATTTTTATAGACTAACCTGGGCACAAAACCACTACATGGAAAACATTTCTTTAGGAAAGTGGAGTGTATTCCAAACAAGTAACCAACAAATCAACTCTACTTAAACTAGAGACTGGCAAGTTAACGTCAAACGCTAGCCTTGATTCCTACAGTTAAAAAAAAAAAAAAAACTCAGCAGCAAATGATCTTTAAGAAGTGATAATTACATTATCAGAGGTGCCTAATCTTCTTAAATCTGCCTGAATAAACACAACACCCTAATACTAAAAGTAGGTGACACACATAGGCAATTATCTGTTTCCATGAAAGAAGCTATTGTTAGGGCTAGGCTAAAGTAGAAAAATACCAGTTAACTCCTGACAAATTCCTGGGCTGCAAGCCCTCATCAAAATGGAGTAAGTCTGGTTCACTCCCAAGATAGATGGGAAAGTACTCACTAACTTCTTGCCTGACTAACTCCTGGGCCTCGGAAAGGAACTGACTATCCAGACTGACCTTCAGACAATACCAAGTGGAGAGAATACTGAGACAAAAATGTATGAAGGAAAAGTACTGGAACTAAAATGTATGGTTAAATATTAAAACAAAAATGTATGACATATAGCTAGCCAACTGCAAAATTCTGCTTCTGTACAATGCTTGCTTGCTACTCCGCCTGAATGCAGCTGAACAGCCTATGTGCCAACCAGGATGCAGACCAAGCCTTAAAAACCTGACTCTGGCTCAGCGCCTGTGGCTCAAGCAGCTAAGGTGCCAGCCACATACACCTGAGTGGTGGGTTTGAATCCAGCCCAGGCCTGCCAAACAACAATGATGGCTGCAACCAAAAAAAAGTAGCCGGGCGTTGTGGTGGGCGCCTGTAGTCCCAGCTACTTGGGAGGCAGAGGCAGGAGAATCGCTCGAGCCCAGGAGTTGGAGGTTGCCATGAGCTGTGATGCCACAGCACTCTACCCAGGGGGATAGCTTGAGGCTCTGTCTCAAAAAAAAAAAAACTGGGCAGCGCCTGTGGCTCAAAAGGGTAGGGCGACGGCCCCGTATGCTGGAGGTGGCAGGTTCAAACCCAGCCCCAGCCAAAAAAAAAGCTGACTCCTGAAGCACTCACAGCTGCTCTCAGAAACCCCATGTTGGGATTTGGCCAGCTCTCTTCAATAAAAGGATTCTGCTGTAAATTTGGCTTGTTTAGCAGTGTGGTTTTTGTGGAACTCCTGGGCACAACACTATAAGCACCAAGTAGAACAAAAATGAGCCAGGCCTCAAAAACAAAAAACAACTCTGAATTGTTATTTTGAAGAAATCTGCATTTCTTACACTTCAGAAACCCTTACACTTCATCTCTCTAAATTTGACTTAAAATTATTGTCCCTTTGGTTTTCCTTTCTGAAACAGTATTATTCTTATATTGAAGATCCTAGATTTAATTTCTGATATTACATCTCCATTTCTTCCCAAGCATTTCATAAAGCCTGACCAACACTAAAAAGTTAAGTCTGAAAGCTTACTCCTGGTCTTTCTTTCTTTCTTTTTAAGATTGGAAAGGAATTATCTTTTCTAATGATCTCCAGAGAATTTACTATCACTTCTCTCCCTTCAGCCAGTTCCTTTGTAACCACTATCAGAAAATTTTTCCTTCAGCCTTTTTTTTCTTGAGTCTCACTATGTTGCCCTCTATAGAGTGATGTAGCATCACAGCTCACAGCAACCTCAACTCTTGGGCTTAAGCGATTCTTCCCTCAGCCTCCCAAGTAGCTGGGACTACAGACACCCGCCACAACGCCTGGCTATTTTTTGTTGTAGTTGTCATTGTTGTTTTGTTTGGCAGACCCGTCCTGGGTTCCAACCCACCAGGTCCAGTGTCTGGCCCGCACCCTCGCCACTGACCTGCAGGTGCCAAGCCTTCCTTGAGCCTCTTAAATCTCAATCCTCAAACTCTTCCACCCAGCTGTGCTGCTCCCTTCTGTTTCCATGGAGACAGCAATACGCTTGCAAAGACACTCACCCCTCAGTCTCACCATCCTCTATTCAGAACTCTCAAGACTTTCCATCTCACTCAGAATGAAAACTCAAAGTACCTAAGATGGCCAACCCTGCATCATTGTGCCAGCCTGCCACCTCCTTAACTCTAGTTTCATCTCTTTCAACTCATTCCCTAACCACACCTTTACACTTGTTCTCTGCTTGGAATCCTCCCACCTCTCTTTGAAGGACTTTCTCAAATGTACCTTTCCTCAACATCCCCAGCCTCCATTTAAATTTCCAATTCTCTGTGCCCCTCAAGAGCTCTCTATTTAACTTATTGTATTATCTATCACCCCGTGATACTATCTATCACCAGTATAAGTTTTATGCTTGTAGAAATTCATTTGTTTTGTTCACTGCTGTATCCCCTAGGACAGTGCAAATTACCCGACAAGAGTTCAATAAACAGTCATTCATTTAAAGAATGTTTGCTGAAGGCTCACGCTCTGTGAGGCTGAGGCGGGTGGATTGCCTGAGCTCACAGGTTGGAGACCAGTCTGACCCAGAGCGAGAGACCTCGTCTCTAAAAATAGCCGGGCATCCAGGAGACTGAGGCAGGAGGATAGCTTGAGCCCAAGAGTTTGAGGTTGCTGTGAGCTATAACTACACAGCACTCCGCCGAGGGTGACAAAGTGAAACCTTGTCTTAAAAAAAAAAAGTTTGCTGAGCACCTGTTCTCGTCCAAGTTTCTCAAATCAAGATCATTAAGACACTGTCCCTGTTTTTAACGCACCAGATGGAGAACTGTACCGCAAACATAAACGTGCGATAAAGGACTGAAAACTAAGGCCGCAGGCAAATCAAAGAATGCTGAGAGAGAAACCTGGGCTTTCTCTCTCCAGGAACCACTCAGCTTTCGCACAGCTTACCAGGGACCATCCCCGGAGGGTCTCCTCCAGACCCCTCCAGAGCAGCTAGTCCCGCTCACCATCCCCAGGTCAGAGAAGTTACTTGCCCAGAGACGGAACTTCTGGCCGAGCAAGAGATTTAAGGAAACAAAGACCTCTGCGCTTCGGCCTCCGCCCCCTCCCTCTTGCCCCCGCAAACCGCCTCCCATAGTGACTCGGACTGAACTTAGCCTCGGACCAACGTGCCCTCACTACCAAGAGATCCTTCCTTACTTCCGCACTCCGCACCTGCTCCCGGCGTCCCCTTCGGCTCCTCCCGGCGCGTGCGCTAAGAGGGCCACGTGGGTCTCCCGAGAGGCTGGTGCACCGCTGACTCTGGGCACGCCCTCAGCGTAGATCTGGCTCCTGATTGGCTGCCTGCCGCTCGCCCGAGCCAGGCTGGGGCGCCTAGGGCTGAGCTTCTAAAAGCGGTGCCAGCTGGACTCTCAAGCTGTCCCTTCCTGCTCCTTACCTCCTACGCGACTGCCGGGAATCTTTGCCACCCTGCCAGCATGTCTCAGGTAAAGGGCTGCGAAGGTGCAGCGGGGCGGGAGGCAGGTGTGGGGCTCGTGCTGCAGCCAGAATTTCTCGGCCTCTTCCCTTTAATGTCCCGCAGTTCCTCCTGGACCCATGCCCAGCCCTGATTCTTTAGACAGAGCCTTGTGAGCGAAACTTTCCGTTTGGGGATTTCTAAATCCTTCCCAACCCTCAACTGCTGGGAAGTTGCCCATGGAGTGATCTTGGCAAAGGGTGGGAGAGGTGCAGGAAGCCAGGGTGCCAGAGAGAAGGAAGGGGGAAGGGTTGCACGGATAGAAGGGTTCAGGACACTGAGTCCCTACCCAGAAGAACAAGGCGGGACTAGGGTGTCACAGCCGAGTGGGGAAGCAGGGAGACTCTGGCTGGGAGCTTGGAGGTCAGGGTAATAGGGACCGAATGCCGGGCATCCGGAGAGAGGAGAGGTGACCCAGAGGCCTTTTCCTTCCCTCCACTGTAGACCTTTGTCTGGAACCAAGCCATGGCGGGCAACATATGGCTTCTCCTGCCTGCCTGTCCCCAATGCAGGCACTGGTTCACAGATCGGTGCTGACCTCCCAGGCCCCAGGGAGGAGGGGCCAGCGGGCTCCGGCCGCCAACAGCTTCGCGCCCACGCCCGTTCGCCTTCCCAGCTGTTTAGTCCAGAGGTTAGGGCTTCGCAGGAAATCAGTTCATCCTATAGTCTGGCCGGTGGCGAGTACATGCACACTATGGGCAAAGGCGCGCTGTCTGTGTCACTCACTGCTGCATTTGCAGCGCCTGATGCCTTCTATAGTGAGAGCATCTGATAACGTTAGTGTCGACTGAACGAGGGAACAGATGTGTTTCTGAATCTTTGGAGCTGCCCGGCAGGGGATACACACGTAAGAGGACTGCTTTTCCTAGGCTGCTTTGCAGGACGAGTGTTCTGCCTTTCTGACGGTCCTGTTCAGGCTACAGCAGGACTTCTGCCTGCCACTCCCACTGACTCCTCTCCTCTCCCTCTGATGTAGGCTGAGTTTGACAAAGCCGCAGAGGAGGTTAAGCACCTCAAGACCAAGCCTGCAGACGATGAGATGCTTTTCATCTACAGCCACTACAAACAAGCGACTGTGGGAGATGTGAATACAGGTATGCTGGGCAGGGGCTGGGACTGGAAGGGCCATCCCCATCAGGCTGGCTCAGCAGCCTTGAAGGGGAGTCTGTGAGAACTTCACCTAAAAACCACCAAGGCTCTACTTTTCAGATGGAGCATGGTGATGTTCCTGGGGTTTAAGCTGAGATAGTTTCCCCAAAGACCTTATGCTATCCACAATTCTCAGTGGCTCAGGTAGCAGAATTGAAATCCTGATTTTAGAAAGGCTTTACTGGTTATCACCAACAGCTCCTGTCTCCTAGGGAGGAAAGATTTGCTCAGTAAGGCCGGGCGGGGTGGCTCACACCTGTAATCCCTGCATTGTGGGAGGCTGAGGTGGGTGAATTGCCTGAGCTCACAGGTTCGAGACCAGCCTGAGCAGGAGTGAGACCCCCATCTCTAAAAATAGCTGCGTGTTGTGGCAAGCACCTGTAGTCCCAGCTACTCAGAAGGCTGAGGCAAGAAGATCACTAGGCAAGAGCCTAGGAGTTGGCTTGGCGCCTATAGCTCAACCGGCTAAGGCGCCAGCCAC